TGGAGGCTTTCTTTGAACCCGGAACAACAGGTTTCACCGGTTATCTTCTCTGGCCGACTGCTGCTGACCTCTGGGACGTGCAGGGAAGCACGTGCAGGGCTCGAACCTGCTTCAGCTTAGTCCAGACGGGGGCTGCCTAGTTCCGACCGGACCCAACGGGGGTGAGAGTGTCTCTATTGCTGACTCATGCCTATTTATCTTTGGGGGTGTGGAAGCCCCTAATTACAGGTAAAGACAATACGTCACAGGAAGGGGTTGCACTAGAGGTTACACAGTAATGAGGGTGGTCTCCGGGTCTCCATAGGAACCATTATCAGTAGGGTGAAAACTCCTCCTACAGGAACTAAGCTAATGGTCCCAAGTCTTACTTAGCTCATCTCCCCAGCAGCAGGGAGCAGGCCCACCCCTTGGTCTGGTGACTGACTGTCTTCAGGGGGAGGGGGGAATGCCTGTGCATTTGGCCTCCCCCCACACGGGTTCAGGGGGGGTGTACGCTTGCAGTAGGAGTACAGCTAGTGGACTGGCTGGCTGAGATGTCCTGGGCTGTAGGGGGAGCCACTCTGCTGTGGGGTTTCCATGAGACAGAGCCAGGTGGCCCCCGGCAAGCGCTGATATCTGTGGAGGAGTGCTCTCCCATGATCCCTGGCAATGTTAAGCTGAGCAGGGAGCCGTGGGATGGATTGGGAGATCCTCAAATGAGCTGGCAAAAACACCCAGTGCCCCCCAGTGGACTCAGAGTGACCCTGGGGGAAGAGTCGATCTGCCCCTGTGGGTTTCTGAGTGTGCTAGTCCAGGTAGACTAGAGAAACAAATTCATAGATACACTCATATGTGTACAAGAAAGAAGTTTTATATACAAGGGCAGTTGAATATTGAGAAAACATCCCAGACTAGATTAAGTCCATAAGTCCGATATTAGCCCATCTCTCTGATACCAATCTATAAAGTCCTCTTTAGACTCACGAAACACATGCAATGACGCCGAGTGCAGAAGATCACAGGCCAGTGGGTGCGAAGTCTTGTGGATCCAGTGGTGGTAGAAGCATCTCAAAGCTGGCAGTGGTCTCCATGTGGCTCCTATAGTTCCCAGGGCGTGGGGTTTATCAGCATAGTGCCCTGTGTCTTGTCAGTAGATCATCTCCTAGCAAGTGAACAGAAAGAGTGTCTCCTGCCTCCAAGGAGGAAG